TGGCTGCAAACATTCTTAGAAACAAACAAACAAAAAAGAGCATAAGAAAACAACCCTAAAGATGGAAGAAATGTAATATTAACACAGACCTAGATGCTGTAAAGGTTGAAGCGACACTAGAAATCCATTAGCCACAGTGCAGAAAGAATTTTACCCAACAAGGATTCAGAATCCTGGTGGGAAGGAGGTATAACATTTACATGAACGTGGAGGAATTCCAATCTTTTAGCGGTCATAGGATATTAAAAACTCTAAAATTAAAAAAATTGGGCCAGGCATGGTGGCTCCCAGCATTTTGGGAGGCAGAGGTGGGCAGATTGCTTGAACCCAGGAATTTGAGAACAGCCTGGGAAACACAGTGAAACTGTCTCTACAGAAAACAAACAAACAAAAAAAAATTAGCTGGGCGTGGTAGCGTGTGCCTGTAGTCCCAGCTACTCACGAGGCTAAGGTGGAAGGATCCCTTTAGCCCAGGAAGGTGAGGCTGCAGTGAGCTGTGATTGCGCTACTGTACTCCAGCCTGGGCAACAGAGTGAAATCCTTTCTCAAAAAAAAAAGAAAAAGAAAAAGAGAAAAAACATATATATCAAAGAGAGATATTCAAGATTCAACTTTTCAAAAATAAGCATATTAGTTAAATAAAGATGAGATGTTCCTAAATAATTCTATACCGTGGCCAGAGACTTTTCATTTAAAAGTACATTGAAATTCACTAGTCAGTTTTTACCCTGACAACCGAAGTTTTCAATCATCTCTTTTCCTCATACTTTAAAAATCCATGCAAAACCACAGCACTGGTTATAAATTCACTGAAGCAGGAAAGTAAAGGAAACACATATTTTAAGATATTCTGGGCCAGGCGCAGTGGCTCACGCTTGTAATCCCAGCACTTTAGGAGGCCGAGGCGGGCGGATCACGAGGTCAGGAGATCGAGACACTACTGGCTAATACGGTGAAACCCCGTCTCTACTAAAAATACAAAAGATTAGCCGGGCATGGTGGCAGGTGCCTGTAATCCCAGCTACTCGGGAGACTGAGGCTGGAGAATGCTGAGGAGGCTGAGCTTGCAGTGAGCCGAGATTGAGCCACTGCACTCCAGCCTGGGAGACAGCCAGACTCCATCTTAAAAAAAAAAAAAAAAAAAGATATTCTAGGATGGGCGCGGTGGCTCATGCCTGTAATCCCAGCATTTTCGGAGGCCGAGGCGGGCGGATTACCTGAGCTCTGGAGTTCGTGACCAGCCTGGGCAACATCATGAAACCCCATCTCTACTAAAATACAAAACATTAGCCGGGTGTGGTGGCATGGGCTTATAGTCCCAGCTACTCGGGAGGCTGAGGTGGAAGAATTGCTTGAACCTGGGAGGTGGAGGTTACAGTGAGCCAAGATCGCGCCACTGCATGCCACTCTGGGCGACAGAGCAAGACTCCATCTCAAAATAAATAAATAAATAAATAAAAATTTTTAAAAGATTTTATCACATTCTGAGAGAATAGAGGTGAAAAAGAATTTTAAAAAATAAAAAATATTCTAAAAAATAGGCACAAGGGGCCGGGCATGGTGGTTCATGCTTGTAATCGCAACACTTTGTGAGGCTGAGGCAGGTGGATCATCTGAGGACAGGAGTTCCAGACTAGCCTGGCCAACATGGTGAAACGCCATCTCCACTAAAAATACAAAAATTAGCCAGGTGTGATGGCGAGCACCTGTAATCCCAGCTACTCAGGAAGCTGGAGCAGAAGAATCACTTGAACTCAGGAGGTGGAGGTTGCAGTGAGCCAAGATCATACTCCAGCCTAGGTGATAAGAGTGAAACTGTCTCAAAAAAAAAAAAAAAAAAAAAGACACAAGGATATATGTTGACTGTGATATTACACTACTTATCTATTTTTTCTTTACATACATTTTCTACTTAAATGCAATTTTTTTTTTTTAAGATGGAGTTTCTCTCTTGTTGCCCAGGCTGGAGTGCAACGGTGCCCAGGCTAGAGTGTAATGGCACCATCTCAGCTCACTGCAACCTCCGCCTCCCAGTAGCTGGGATTTGAGGCATGTGCCACCACGCCCAGCTAATTTTTATATTTTTAGTAGAGACCGGGTTTCACCATGTTGGCCAGGCTGGTCTCGAACTCCTGACCTCAGGTGATCCACCTGCTTCGGCCTCCCAAAGTGCTGGGATTACAGGCGTGAGCCACTGCGCCTGGCCGCATTTTTCATTATAGAGTAATAAAACTTCATTTAAAATATTTTAGAATATATTACTACACTTCCAACACTATTTCTGTTAATAATTTTGATCTCCTCCCATTGATCCTGCTTATTTCCCCACCCCTCCAGCTCACTGTATACTATAACCCAGTTCATTCAATAAAGGATGTGAAGTAGATTTATAACCACGCCTTTATAAGTGGATAGGCAGATCATTTCTGTATCTTTGCTACCAATGACAATGCAACAGTTTTATGCACATAACCTATACTTTGGGTTGTTTTACTGATTGATTTCAAGAAGGTATTTCATCAGAGAAGAAAATAACTTGATCAAATTGCTTTCTGGCCAGGTGAAGTGGCTCACACCTGTAATCCCAGTACTTTGGGAGGCCGAGGCAGGTGGATCACCTGAAGTCAGGAGTTCGAGACCAGCCTGGCCAACATGGCGAAACACCATCTCTAATAAAAATACAAAAATTAGCCTGGTATGGTGGTATGTGCCTGTAATCCCAGCTACTCAGGAGGCTGAGGCAGGAGAATCACTTGAATCTGGGAAACAGAGGTGGAAGTGAGCTGAGATCGCACCACTGCACTCCAGCCTGGGTGACAGAGTAAGACGCTGTCTCAAAAAAAAAAAAAGAAGAAGAAGAAGAAGAAGAAAGAAGTAAAAATAAAAAGAAAAAAAGAAGAAATTGCTTTCTAGAGAATTTGTATCAATTTGTAAAATCAACAGCAATATGTCAGTTTAACTGTGCCCTCACCCACACTAGCTATTAGCTTTTAAAAAGGGAGGGATGGGAGAGAACTGCAGAAGTCAACATTGTCTTTTGTTGTCAAACCAGAAGTCAGTCAAATTATAAGTCTTAAACAACAACTTTAATTAAAGGATGTGACTATGGACCCAATTAGTGCCCAGAGTTTGCTAAATCTTTTCTTTTTTGCCTACCTATCTATCTTCTCCTTTATATTTACTCTCTAGTACACGGCTTTCCTTCTTTCACATACTTTTTTCTTACCCACCAAACCACACATTTTGCCAAGAGTATATACTTACTGGTGAGAAAATATATTTGTGGGTGTACTCCACTGGACATGTGTGTGTGCGTGTTTGTATATACTATTCTTAACATATATATACTTGCATATGTGCATCTATGAAACAAATGTTTTTGTATTTTCTCGTAAAAATGTTGTTAATACAAAAAAGTGAGGTCATAAGGAGAGGAAATAAGCTAATTTGATGTGTGATAATTATTTTAAAAATACATAATCTGTTTATTATGCTTTGCTTATTTACCTACTGTGGTCTCTGTTTTTCTCTTAGCAATATATTTAATATAAAGATAAAATCCTATGTCATATTTACTTCCCAAATACATAAGCCCTTTTTTAAAATGTTAAATTTGTTGATTTTTTGGTGTGTTTGCCTCATCTGTCTTTAGGCTGAGAGATGTCCCTCATTTAGACCACTAGTTTTCCAAACAATGAACACTGAAGGACAGATGATATGACCTAATCTGAATCTTCACTGCAGGTCCATTTTAAATCTTGACCAGCTCTATAATTTTCCCGGGTAGAAGAACAAGGGGTGGTGTGGAGGTTCCATTTCATGCCCAAGTCAGTTGGAAGTCCAAATTACCTACCACTCTTTTTTTTTTTTTTTTTTTTTTTGAGACAGTCTCACTCTGTTGCCCAGGCTGGAGTGCAGTGGCGCGATCTCGGCTCACTGCAAGCTCCGCCTCCTGGGTTCATACCATTCTCCTGCCTCAGCTTCCTGAATAGCTGGGACTACAGGTTCTCCTGCCTCAGCCTCCCGAGTAGCTGGGACTACAGGCGGCCACCACCACGCCCAGATAATTTTTTTTTGTATTTTTTAGTAGAGACGGGGTTTCACCGTGTTACGCAAGATGGTCTCGATCTCCTGACTTTGTGATCCGCCTGCCTTGGCCTCCCAAAGTGCTGGGATTACAGGCGTGAGCCACCGCACCAGGCCTTATCTACCTCTCTTAATCAGCAAGGAAAAACCAGAACTGGCAAGAGCTCTAGACTAGACTACAGATGAGACCGAAAGTGGGCTACCTGGTACATCTTGTCTGTCCAACAGGTCTTTTTTTTTTTTTTTAAACTGTTCCTTGGTGAGCAGGGCTACTCCACAGGCACTGTGTGCCCAGAGTAGCCTCCAACAGGTCTTTTGGTCCTATGGTAGATGCCTCAGATCCTAACATATAGCTAGTTCCCCCTACAGCCAACAGACTCTGACAGGCCAACACTCTTTTTTTTTTCTGAGACAGGGTCCACCCAGGCTGGAATGCAAAGGCGCAAGCAATCTTGGTTCACTGCTGCCTCGACTTCCCGGGCTCAGGTGATTCTTCCACCTCAGCCTCCAAAGTAGCTGGGACTATAGGCATGTGCCACCATGCCCAACTAATTTTTTGTATTTTATGTAGAGACAGGGTTTTGCCATGTTGCCCAGGCTGGTCTTGAACTCCCGGCTCAAGTGATCTACCTGCCTTGGCCTCTCAAAGTGCTGGGATTACAGGCATGAGCCACCGCACTTGGCCAGGCCTACTCTTTAGACTGGATACTTCATATAAGGCACCTGGCCACATTTCAGTGCAACTATACATGCTCTGAGGGTTGCTTGAGAGTTATACCACACCTGTAAGAAACGGTAAGCATTTGATCTTTATTTTCAGTATATACACTAAAGCAGAGAAGCTGAAGAATTTGGGTTTTAATATTCGCCATGAAGAAGTGGAGTGTCTGAAATAATGAAGGATTAACACATACCTGATTTCGAAGAGGCTGCTGTTGTGATGGCCGATCCCTGTGTGTGTGGCTTTCTCGAGTTATTGCAGATGCACCAGAATCTACGTGAACTGACCCTACTGGAGTAGGCTGGAAAAATGAAACAAAAAGTCAAATGGGGGAAAGAGGTCCAACTTGATGCATATGCAAACGACAGAATAATTCTAATTCTAATAGAGTAGTAGTAATTATTTTCAGCTACCAAGAGCACTTTCAAGTTGTCTTGTCTTCTCAGTTTGCTCATCTGCAAAAGGGAGGCAGCCTGGTCCTCAATAGTTCATTGGAGAGTAGCTTACCTTCGAAAATAAAAAACCAGGGTTGGGTGCGGTGGCTCATGCCTGTAATCCCAGCACTTTGGGAGGCCAAGGTGAGTGAATCACCTGAGAGGTCAGAAGTTCGAGACCAGCCTGACCAACGTGGAGACACCCCATCTCTACTAAAAATACAAAATTAGTCAGGTGTGGCAGCACACGCCTGTAATCCCAGCTACTCGGGACGCTGAGGCAGGAGAATCACTTGAACCCGGGAGGCGGAGGTTGTGGTGAGCCGAGTTCACGCCATTGCACTCCAGCTTGGGCAACAAGAGTGAAACTCCGGGAAAAAAAAAAAAAAAAATCCTCCAGTGGTATCTGTTTGGCCCTGTGAACCCCTGACCAGAACAACAAATTCAAAAGCTTCCTATGGTGCTGGGTTCCACTCCTACAAAGGTCAAGTACATTAACAGCGTATGTGGCATCAACTTCTGAATCATGGCGTCGGGCATGGTGGCTCATGCCTGTAATCCCAGCACTTCTGGAGGCCGAGGCGGGCAGATCACCTCAGGTCAGGAGTTTGAGATCAGCCTGGCCAACATGGCAAAACCCCGTCTCTGCTAAAAATATAAAAATTACCCAGGTGTGGTGGTACATGCCTACAATCCCAGCTACTTGAGAGGCTGAGGCAGGAGAATCTCTTGAACCCAGGAGGCAGAGGTTGCACTGAGCCAAGATTGGCACCATTGCACTCCAGCCTGGGCGACAGAGAGACTCTCTGAAAAACAAAACAAAACAAAACAAAACAAAACCAAAACAATGTCTGAATCATTCAAATGAAATTTCTCCTAAAAACCGGGCTTAAATTCTGTTATCTTAGGACATGCAAGTTATTATCTTCCTATATCACTAGGAAAAAATACATAACTCCTTCCTACTTCTGAACTAGTAAGAGCAACCTATGGCAACACCCAGACAAGGCTGGTAAATATACAGTCTACGATCAAAGGAATATTTTTACTAAAGATTCAAGCAGGAAGACTGACAAGTAAAGGCATGAGGCAGTGCTGGTTGGAGAAAGGAGGTAATGAGGTAAAAAAAAAAAAAAAGATACTTACAATAGGTCTCCCAACCCAATCATAGGCATAGTCAAAGGTGTAGCCTTTCTTTTCAAAGAGGTCTGTGAAGAGGGTCCGTAAATACTCATAATCAGGTTTTTCAAAGAAGTCCAATCGTCTGACATATCGAAGGTAGGTTGCCATCTCCTCTGTCAGGAAAGAGATGAAAGGCCCTGCTCATTAGCTGAATGCTTTCCATAGTGGTTGTGGGGAAGCACTGGGCCACAAAGGGGTTATTTATACAGACAATTTAACACTGATGTTTTCTTTACAGACAAAATAAAAGCGATAAAACCTACTTTGGTCTGTATCACAAAAGGAAATGTTAATTACCTAAACAGCACCCTTATCTAGAGATACCCAGTCATGGACTCTACCTATTTCAAAGCTCAGTCACACTGACTGGAATGTCTTTTTAGCATCCCACCTGGAAAGTTTTCACAGAGAGCTTCAATGGGAGTATTCCTTTTGGTGTCACCAATTTTTTGATATCTCTCTTTTAACGTGTCAGCCTGTAGAGAGTAAAGAGAAAGTTATTTGAAAAGATGTCCTAAGCATGGGAGATTCAATATGTTTTTGGACACAATGGTTGTTTCACTCAAATTCACAGTATTTGTTGGTCTTGATTTTTTTTCTAACACAAATAAGAAATGTAGTAGAAATTATATATTTAGATATACACAAACATCTGCTGTGTTCTGGAAAATTTTACTTGCGAAAATATTTAGTTGTCTCAGATAAACACCATCAGATACAATGGATGAGTGGCTAGGATAAGAAAATAACAATATTATGTGGCAATATTTTCAAAATTGCAGAAGCTTAGTAATCTCCCATGGCTACCATAATTCAATGTGATTCAGCATTCTCTCTTAGATCAGCTCTAAAAGTATTGCTAATCCAGGTGGGGGAAACAGATAAGTAATTCTACTACATATATCTAGAGACTTTGAACAGAAAAAAAAAAAAAAAATAACTGAAAAATGTATTTCAACAACGTGCTTCCAGAGGGAAAAAAGTTGTCTATGGTACAGCCATGGCTAACAGAGTTGGTGTATGTCAGTATCTCAAAAGCAGCCCAAGTCTGGCATGGTCAGAGCTATAGCCAGAGGGCTTTTGAATCCTGGACCAACAGTGAGTGGGCTCCTAGGGAATTGTTGTCAGGCTTTACCTAGCTTGCTGCACTCAGACTTAAGCAATAGCGTTCTGAAGTGAGTAGGAGAAATTTTAGGTCTACAACTATCACTAAAATGATTTATGGACGAGAGAGTTTCAAGCAATTAATAATACACTAATGCATTGTTTGGCTGTATGATGACCAAGTTTGACATGAAACTATATTTGAAAGCTATAAACATCAATGAGAAGATGTATATAACAGGAGAGGAATTTAAGAGTGAAGAAATAACATCTAAAAGGCAATGGGTAGAAGTCTTACGTTTTAGGACAGTATTCTAGAAAGCCTACAGCAAAATGAACCATCCTGCCTTTCTGGAAGACGGGATGTAGGAGTACCCCAAACTACTGATTAAGTTTCTTTCCATGTTAGTATGTTGAAATAAATTACAACCAAAAAATATGTCTTGGGCCAGGCGCGATGGCTCACGCCTGTAATCCTAGCACTTTGAGAGGCTGAGATGGGCGGATCACTTGAGGTCAGGAGCTTGAGACCAGCCTGACCAACATGGTGAAACCCCGTCTCTACTAAAAATACAAAAAATTGGCTGGGTGCAGTGGCTCATGCCTGTAATCCCAGCACTTTGGGAGGCCGAGGCAGGCGGATCACGAGGTCAGGAGCTTGAGACCAACCTGGCCAATATGGTGAAATCCTGTCTCTAATAAAAATATAAAAATTAGCCAGGCGTGGTGGCATGTGCCTGTAGTCCCAGGTACTCAGGAGGCTGAGGCAGGAGAATTGCTTGAACCCAGGAGGCGGAGGTTGCAGTGAGCTGAGATCACACCACTGCACTCCAGCCTGGGCAACAAAGCCAGAGTCCGTCTCAAAAAAACCCCCAAAAATTAGCTGGGCATGGTGGCGTGCACCTGTAATCCCAATTACTCAGGAGGCTAAGGTGGGAGAACTGCTGGAACTTGGGAGGCGGAGGTTGCAGTGAGCCAAGATTGCACCACTGCACTCCAGCCTGGGAAACAGAGCAAAACTCTGTCTCAAAAAAAAAAAAGTCTCACAAAATACTAATGGGACTTACAAGGGGTTAGAAGCTTACCATTTCCTAGTCAAACAGCCAAATGCACAGAGTAATGATAATGCTCATAATCATCATAGTAAACTGACATGTAACCACCGTACTGACACCTACCTAAGGAAGGCTATTTAAACTTTACACATTTTACAGTGAATAGCTATTGTCTGAATAGGCATTTATTCAATAATATACTTGAACAGCAATGTTAAACCTGGATTTTCATTTTAGTTCAGGTGAGTTCTTAGCCTACATATTTTCTAAGTTTTCCTGAGGAGCACACCCTGCTGGCCTTTCTGGTAAAATGTGTAGCAGCTGTTGTCAACAATTTGTTCCAGAAATTCCCTTACATACTGGGAACACTCCTCCTGCTACATAATGGTAGTGGAGGAGGAATACCAACACAGAGAGAAAAGCAGCACTGTCAAGGCTGGGAGGAAATGAGAGAGAAGATCATGGAAAATCCAAAAACAAGGAAAAATTAAGAAAGGGAAGACAAACAGTGAACAAAACAGTTTCCAAAGCCCAGGAGAGCATTTATAGTGTAGACTAATGTAACTAGTCCTTGTTTCTTATCTCTATAATCAATAATCCTTTTTGTGTTGTTTTAAAAAATATTTATTTATCTTTAAATAGAGATGGCGTCTCACTATGTTGCTGATCTCAAACTCCTGGACTCAAGCAATCCTCCCACCCCAGCCTCCCAAAGTGCTGGGATTACAGGCATCAGCCACCACATCTGGCCAGCCCTCTACACATTTCTTAAAAACATGAAGCCAGAGGCCTCTTCATTAACAACTGAGCATAGCAACAAAGCCCTCCACTGAACACTTTCAAGGATACCTTGAGTCCTTGCCAGGGAAGGCTGCCTCGAAGGAAATACATGAACATATGGCCTAGGGCTTCCAAATCATCTCTCCGGCTTTGCTCTAAAAGGGAAGACAGATCACACATTATGTTTGCAGTTATTACAGCAGAAAAAGGTTCAAAACCAAGTAATCCCTTCAGAAACCCTTCAGCTCTGGAAAGGCTCTGCTTACTCATTACTTGTATATTTAAACCAAGGATAGTATTTTAGATCAAAACCTCAAACCAATGTGTACTTCCTTTGTCTAGATCTGTTGATAGTAAGTAAATATCAAGAGAAAAGAGCAAATCCTGAATTAAAACCAAGCCCAAATCACTAAACAGTGAATTACCACCCCTCACTCAATGCTGTCACCTTCCTGACAGTGATAAAATTTTAATGAAATGTTATTTCCAGTATATAGGCTACAGTTACCCTTTAGTTACCACCACGGAGTGAGTAGCAGATTAAGCAACCCAAACTGTTAAAACAGTCCATTCTGGCTAGGCCTGCAAAGATACAAGCTGCAAAATGCCTAGCAAACATGCCAAGTGCTTTTAATTCATCATAAAAATTAACACTTAAAATTCAGTTTCATATCAATGAACATCAGTACATACTCTCTTGGCTCCCATTCAATTTGTACCATGTCCTATAACCTCAAAAACATTTTAAAATTTATTACTAAGGTCCCCTCAAAATTAGATGGGTAAGGCTGCACACATCTGTAGTCCCAGCTACTTAAGAGGCTCAAGTGAGAGGATCGCTACGGCCCAGGAGTTCAAGATAAGCCTGGGCAACATAGTAAGACCTCATCCCAAAACAAAATAGAACAAAAAATCAAAGTCCTTGCATTCTGGAAGCGTATCTAAAACAAGTTGCTGGGTTTTTCTCTCCTTTTAATTGGGAAGGTGAAGATGACAAAGAACTGCAAAATAGTTAACACAAAACTGCAGCTTCATCTCAGAAAACATCCTACACATTCTTTGTTGGACAGAATCTAAGTAGTACACATCTTCGTTTCTTTTTTCTTCTTTCTTAAAGACAGAATCCTTGCTCTGTTGCCTAGGCTGGAGTGCAGTGTTGTGATCATGGCTCACTGCAGCCTCAAATTCCTGAGCACAAGGGACCCTTCTGCCTCAGCTGAGTAGCTAGGAATCTAAGTGTATGGAATGACACTCGGCTAATTTATTTATTTTTATTTTTTGTGAAGATGGGGTCTTGTTATGGCTGGTCTCAAACTACTGGCCTCAAGCAAACCTAATATATCAGCCTCCCACACTGTGGGATTACTCATGTCAACCACTGTACCCAGCCCATGCATTCATTTTGAATTTGCCAATTATGATTTAGTCTCAGACTTTTTTTTTTTTTTTTTTTGAGACAAGGTCTCACTCTGTTGCCTAGGCTAGAGTGCAGTAGCATGATCTTGGACACTGCAGCCTCGCCCTCCTGGGCTCAAGTGATCCTCCCACCTCAGCTTCCTGACTAGCTGGGACTACAGGCATGTACCACCACTACTATCACCCCGGCTACTTTTTGTATTTTTTATAGAGACTGGGTTTTGCCATGTTGCCCAGGCTGGTCTGGAACTCCTGGGCCAATCAAGCAATCAACCAGCCTTGGCCTCCCAAAGTGCTGCGACTACAGTGTGAGCCACCACACTTGGCCCATCTCAGACATTTTATGTGTTTATTTTTCAGAATCAAGTTTAGGGCTTTATCAGAATAAACGACAGAAGCAAGACTAAGAGGCTACCTTCAACTTGATTGTGCTTTCTTTGTATAGAAAGTAAAACCCAAGAGAGCCAGAGAAAGCCACTCAGCTAACTCAAAATACAGAAGTACAATATGTTTAACTACTGCCTTAAATTATAGGAAATTTGCATGAAAAAGAATAGTAGTCTACAGGGTAGATGAAGAAAGAAAAGGCAACTTTTAAAATAGCGATTTGATGGAGGTTGTAAAAAGATGGTTACTAATGGAAAGGAGGGGTACCCTGACAGAGATAAATAACATAAAACCGAGTTGGTATACATCAATTGAAACAATCTTAAAAAGAATGAAATAAAACAGCACAACCATCAGAATCCTTTGTCTACATGACTTGTCTGGTTTGTAATAAAATATTCACAATTGAAAACAAAAAAGTAGTTATACAAAAACAGTGTGTTGACAGAATCTAAAGATGCACAAATGAAAAAGAGAAAAGAACAAGGAGAGTGAGTGGAGGCCTCCCACAAAGCAGGGCAGATAGAAAAACGACTCTGCAGTTTCTCATACTGTATCACACCCACTCATCGCCTCTCCATTTTTATATCCACTCCCTGTAACAAGAGGCCCCTTGGTTATTAAAAATTCACTGGACAAATGTTTGAATTTTAGATAGTTGAGCACTAGAGGGCAAAACACTCCATATTTTCAATATTGATCAGGCCTACAGAAAAAAGATTTCACAGCAAAATAAATTATGAGATTAAAAAATTGTTTAGGCCGGGCGCGGTGGCTCACGCCTGTAATCCCAGCACTTTGGGAGGCTGAGACGGGCGGATCACGAGGTCAGGAGATCGAGACCATCCTGGCTAACACGGTGAAACCCCGTCTCTACTAAAAAATACAAAAAACTAGCCGGGCGAGGTGGCGGGCGCCTATAGTCCCAGCTACTCGGGAGGCTGAGGCAGGAGAATGGCGTGAACCCGGGAGGCGGAGCTTGCAGTGAGCTGAGATACGGCCACTGCACTCCAGCCTGGGTGACAGAGCGAGACTCCGTCTTAAAAAAAAAAAAAAAAAATTGTTTAAACTCACTGGAATAAGTAATAAAGTAACTTTTCAAATCCTGAGAACTATGAAAAAGAACTGTAGAATATGGGACAATGGGAAAAAGAAGGGTTCCTAAATCAGGAAGGGTACTTAAGTAAGGGTATCTAAATAAGGTACCTAAAATAAGGGTACCTAAATCACCAGCCATGCTTTATTTTCATACGACTTTGAACACTCCACACTTGTCCAATTCATTATTTCTACATGCCCTCATTTCTTCATGCAGAATATTTTCATTTTCAAAGAAGAAAGGTTTCCAATACCAGTGAGACCAGCAGGACACAAAATTCTTCAGTTCTTCTGACTGGTTGAACGGTGTGCTTTCATCCAATCAGAAAGATGTGCTTGGTTTACATGCATAACATCCCTGATTTTAGGTTAAATATATTTGTTGAAGGCAGGGGGCAAGGCAACCCAGTGTTCTCACCCTAATTTCAACCATTAAATAATATAAATTGGGCTGTCTCAGTCACAGCTTAATCAGTGGAAAGGTGGCTACTATGGTAATAGATTTCTGTCTTCCCCCGGATCCCCCAACACACAAACCTCACATTGAAATTTGATCCCAATATTCAAAGTTGGGCCAAATGGAATGTGTCTGGGTCATGGGGGTAGATCCCTCATTAATTGATTAATGACCTCCCTTAGGGATGAGTTCCCAAGAAAGCAGGTTGGTGAGAAGAGCCTAGCACCCCCTTCCCCATGTGATCTGCACATGCTGGCTGCTCCCCTTCCCCTTATACCATGAGTGGAAGCAGCATGAGGCCCCTGAGGCCCTCACCAGATGCAGATGCCAGTGCCATGCTTCTTGTACAGCCTGCAGAACTCTAAGTCAAATTTAAATGTCTTTTCTTTATAAAATGACCCAGCCTGAGGTATTCCTTTATAACAACACAAAATGGACTAAGTGTGGCTACTCTGATGTGGCAACTAATGTAAGGTTTAGGAGGATTCTTCTCTTGTTCTCCTCCTCCATAAAACTAAGAAGTGATTTTCCCAAAGCCATTTGAAAACACATATCCCAGTCCCTTCTTCATTGCAACACAAAAAATGCAACACATTTAAAAACCAACAGCATTAGAGTTCCTACAAAGACCTCTATCGTTTGAGGCATGGGAAAGGGTTTAAAAAGCAGTGACAACTTTCTGTATGTATTCTCTGTAATGTGGAGAATACAAAATATGATGACAGGTTATATTTGACCTGGAAAACTCTGGTACTCAGTAAGCCAAGTCTGGGGGTAAACTCAAAAGTTCCGGCAGGAAAGGCAGTACACCAAGAGACGTAACAGTCTGATGCACAGTAGATGCTTAAAACAGATTTTGTTGAATAAATAACAATCAGGATAATTACAATATGGACTGATCTTACTATTATAAGGCATTATGCTAAACATTTTACATACATTATCTCATAGAACCATATATTACAGGCATAAATATCATATCCATTTCATACATGAGATAACCAAGGCTAAGGGAAGAAGGTTATTGGATCAAAATTACATAGCTATTAAGTAAGAGCGCCAGGATTTGCATACTTTTTCTTAACCACTACTCTTTATCTTATACAAACATAACATGAACACCCATCCCTTGTCTGTTCTTGTCTTTCCTCTTAAAAACAATAAAATTAGTACACGAACGGCTGAGCCCAGGAAGTGGGCATTAAAACAACTTCTAGAGTTTGTCAGTTAAACCACACAATCATAAGTTTATTATTTAAGATACAGTTTTTGTTTCCTTGTAAAATGGAAAAGTACTTGTCATTATGAAGGAAGAAGGGGATGCTAAGCACTATGCAAGAGACCTAAGTCAGACATGGTGCTTTCACATATATTATCCATTCAACCTTTAAAATATCCCTGTGAAGCTTTACCCTCATTTTACAGAGGAGTTTCAGTGAGATTAAGTAACTTGTCCACAGTAACGCTGATAATAAGAGCCAGAGGACTTCTAGTCTAATTTTAAAGTATTACATTTATTTAAGTGAGGATTTCCATGTGGTTACTGAAAAAATCCTGATAACATCATAATTTCAAATCAAATTGTATCATACTACTTTGTAATGCCATTTTTTACTCTTCACTATCACTTGAATTTCTCAGGTGAATAACTTCTGTAGTTTACTCAATGAGGCTACTTAGTAGATATTACATTAGTCTTTAAAATACTTATTAAAGTGCAGGCCAGGCACGGTGGCTCACATCTATAATCCCAGTGCGCTGGGAGGCTGAGGCAACAGGATCTCTTGAAACCAGAAGTTTGAGACCAGCCTGGGGAACACAGTGAGACTCTGTCTCTATAAAAAAATTTAAAAGTTAGCTGGACATGATGGCATGCGCCAATAGCCCTAGCTACTGAGGAGGCTGAGAAAGATCTCTCCAGCTCAGGTGATTGAGGTTATAGTGAGCTATGATCACACTGCTGCACTGCAGCCTGAGTGAGAGTGAGATTCTGTCTCTAAAAATAAAATAAATATGCTGGGCACAGTGGCTCACACCTGTAATCCCAGCACTTTGGGAGGTCAAGGCAGATGGATCTCTTGAGGTCAGGAGTTCAAGACCATCCTGGTTAACATTGTGAAATCCCGTCTCTACTAAAAATACAAAAATTAGCCAGGCGTGGTGGTGCATGCCTGTAATCCCAGCTACTGGGGAGGCTAAGGGAGGAGAACTGCTTGAACCCGGGAGGCAGAGGTTGCAGTGGGCTGAGATTGCATGACTGCACTCCAGCCTGGGTGATAGAGTGAGACTCCATCTCAAAAAAAATAAATAAATAAATGAAATAAATACATCTTAGTGTGCAGTAGTTCATTAATATTTAAGAATATTTTATAATTATTTCTGTCTAGGAGTATGGAATCTGAGAATATTCTGCTTGTGTACGCTCTAGAATATTGATTTTCAAACACATTTTTTTCAATCACCTAGGAGTCTTTTCTCCAAATAGAGTCTTCCATCGAAGCCCAATATACGAAACATAAAAAAGGGAGGCTTTTTTTGAAGCAGAAAAGCTCAGGGCTCTGCCTGCTTGGTCTCCCCCACTGTTCCTTAGGCTTCTCTGACAAATACTCTCCCCCTTGGAATAGTTCCTTACAGGTAAGGTCTTCTGCCTTGATTAGAGCATTTAACAACATTTGTGCAAGTTGTTTATCCTGAGTAAAATGCAAAACTAATGGGAAACCAAGCATATTTTCACTGAATAAGACAGAAGCTCTTCCTTGAAGACTTCTGTGCAGAACTACGTGCAGTGAACAGAAGTCTACTCCATTTTTAGTGAGGCACTCTTCCCCACAGCTGACCCAGCCTGATGTCCTTTTCAGGACTGTCATAAATGGAGTCATACATAAGTAAATACCAAATTCATTACTAAACTCACTAAAATGCTATCCTCTTTTTACAATAATTCAAGTACTCACACTGCTCAGAAACTAAACATTTGGAAGTACAGTGTAAAGAATTAAGAACCTATGCATAGTCTATAGGATTCTTTGAAAAGTCATTAACTTACCATCTCAACTTCCCATATATAAAAATCACTTAACCTTGTGAAGCAATAAAAACCACAAGTTGTAATGCACAATGACGATATAAGTGTTACAGGAATAATAAACTGTTCTAATGACTTGCCCCTTTCATGGAACAGAAAAAAACACACCTTTGCCAAGATGCGTGTTGATAGACATATATCTTGCAGTTCCAGTTAAACTTTTGTGTTCCCTATAAGGTATGTGTTTTTTGGTTTCGGGGTCAATGTATTCCTTGGCCAGTCCAAAGTCTATAATGTGTATAACATGTTCTTTCTTATTGCCTTGTCGACCAATCAGGAAGTTCTCTGGCTTGACATCTCGGTAAATGAGGTTCTTTGAGTGTACATATTCCATTCGAGAAAGCTAAAAGAGAAATAAATGATGGAAATACTCTAAAGAAGTATATCAGGAAAATACATCAAAACATTTTCTTTAATGAGACCAAGGTTTTAATTACTGAAATAACATAAAATTTATCTCCTTTCATCACCCAGAGTCACTTCACTGACTTGTAAACAAAAAAATATTTTGTTATAAATATGTACATAACAAATATCAAGACTAGGAAAAGAAAGTGAGAGAGTACAGGTCAACTAAAATGATAGCTCAATTTTACCTCATAATGTCACAATTTGCAAATGACGAATGAAATTAGTTGTTTATATGCTACTTCAGAAAATTAAGCACTTGAGAGAAAAGAAGTATTCCCAGGTACGATATCAAACTGTTGGTGACCTTTGAGACAAATGCCACTGCCACATTCACCTTCTGCCCACATCTTCCTATCCTTAGTTGGACAAGACTACCCAACCCAACTTTCAATGTTGTGAGGCCCAGAGAAGTTAATACTGGACTGACATCACATAGCTAATTAACAGCAGAGACAGGGAAACAGTTCATTATTATTATTGTTGTTATTATAATTATTATTATTCTTTGAGATGGAGTCTTGCTCTGTCACCCAGGGTGTAGTGCAGCCTCAGCCTCCTGGGTTCCAGCAATTCTTGTGCCTCAGCCTCCCGGGTAGCTCGGATTACAGGCACGTGCCACCATGCCTGGCTAATTTTTGTATTTTTAGTAGAGACAGGGTTTCACCATGTTGGCCACACTGGTCTCAAACTCCTGACCTTGGGTGATCCGTCCTCCTCAGCCTCCCAAAGTGCTAGGATTACAGGCATGAGCCACCATGCCTCCCCAAAACAGTTCATTCTTGTTGTTTTAAATTTATTTGAAGATTATTTTTGTAGAGATGGGGTCTATGTTGCCTAGGCTGGTCTCAAACTCCTGGCCTCAAGTGATCCTCCCACCTCAGCCTCCCAAAGTCCTGGGATTATAGACATGAGCCACCATGCCGGCCAGGGCTACAGTTTTTATGTTAAGTTAAATATAATAAAAAATAATAATCATAAGAGTATTTCAAATTTTATTAAGTATTTCTATCTACTAAGCTTTTCTAGTAACTTTTTTTTTTTGGAGATGGAGTCTCACTCTGTCTCCCAGGCTGGAGTGCAGTGGCGCGATCTCGGCTCACTGCAAGCTCCGCCTCTCAGGTTCACACCATTCTTCTGCCTCAGCCCGCCGAGTTGCTGGGACTACAGGCGCCCGCCACCATGCCTGACTAATTTTTTATATTTTAGTAGCGATGGGGTTTCATCGTGTTAGCCAGGATGATCTCAATCTCCTGACCTCGTGATCTGCCCGCCTCGGCCTCCCAAAGTGCTGGGATTACAGGCGTGAGCCACCATGCCCAGCCCTTTTCTACTAACTTTTAGTAGAGAAAGAGAAGCTCAGATATTTGAATTTGGAGCTCAAAAGTCAAAGTCAATTATCTCACATTTCCAAATTTTTATAGGACAGTGGGAGAGACCATTACCATTTCAAATAAATGAAGATATATTTGCATCATTCCCCAAAGGGCTTATGTCAAACTTCTCAAAGGAACTGTAGGAACTGCTTATTAAACTGGTATTGGGGTGTAGTTTGGTAGGCGCTACAAGAGCTGCCTCTTCAGCTGAAATTTGTCTCTGAGAGAACTGGAGGCCAGAGAACTACCGCAAATTCCTGGTCACGCAATTGTGAATCTGAGTGTTAGTGCAATGGGTTATATCGTCAATATTTTCTTGGTTGCAACACTGAAGGGAGAGATAGGACATGACAAAACCTTACAGTTATATTTAAAACACACAAATAGGCTGGGTGCAGTGGTTCATGCCTGTAATCCTAGCACATTGAGAGGCCGAGGTGGGAGGACCAGTTGAGACCAGGAGTTTAGACCAGCCTGGGCAACATAGTGGGAGCCTGTCTCCACAACATTTTTTAAAAAAATGAGCTGGCATGGCACCTGCAGTTCTAGCTGCTGCAGAGGCTGAGGTAGGAGAATCGTTTGAGCCTAGGAGTTTGAGGTTTCAGTGAGCTATGATCATGCTACTGCACTCTAGCCTGGGTGACAGAGACCCTGTCTCAAAAACCAAAAACAAAACAAAACAAAATAAAAAAAATTATTCACATTTTTACAACTCTATCTAATCATCCTCTTTTCCCCTAATCTAAATTATATACTTCCTCTTCAGTTAAGGGCAGAGCATTGCTCCAAGGTGCAAAGTCTTAAAATAGAGCAAATTGCAGATGTAATATGACTTCTCTGAATTTACCCTTTTTGCCCCAGCCAGCTTCCCAGAATGCCATCAAGCCTGTGAGTACTAATTCTTGATGTGTCGCTATGGTTAGTAAATCACCAAAGGCCCACAAGGATGTGGCTGAGGAACCAGCCTATTCTCTTCCAGAATAGCAATTCCAACTTACCAACTGAATGGCTATCATTAACACCGTCTTCAAAGTAAATGTTCGGTCACAGAGATCAAACAAGTCCTCCAAGCTAGGGCCAAGGAGCTCCAGCACCATGGCATTATATTTCCCACATGGTCCAAAGTAATACACCTGTGGGAGACCTTCACCTGAAAGCAGAGGGGAAATGGGGGTATATAGTGGGAGACACAAAAGCCAAAATATGAGATAACGGTATTAGCACTGAACAAAATATTTTTAAAGGTACAATTTGTGAGATTTCCATTTTCTTTCATAGTCCCTATTGGAAACTTAAATTGAGCACAACAGCTTCAATGGGAACTAATAATGATGGGAAAGGCTAAGTCATTGCATAATATGTTCAAATGAGTAGTTATTTAATACCACAGTGCCAAAAACATTTCCACTGCTATAAGATAGAGAATGGTCCCTGATCCATTAGATCTTCCCAAAAGGATGCCTGAAAGTGCAGTATCGTAAAAGGCTCAAAGGATGGCTCACTGAGCTCAAAGGCCAGCTAACAGAACTTGTTACATTAGCTGGTTCATGAGCACTCCCTATGCTTACTGCCATAGCCACATGGGTTATTTGGAACTGTTGCCCTATGGAGAACTCAGATTGAAAAGGCAAGGTCACAGAGAATGCAGCCTGGCCCCAGGCCAGCACAACTGGCCCTCTTTTCACAGGGAGTCTCTATAGTTTTTTGTTTTCTATCAGCTGGAGAAAAGTCAACTAACCAAAACTTAGTGTTTGGTTGCTGATAAGTACTGATGAAAGGAAAAGGGGGAAAAAACACAAGGCTGGGTTTTCCCCAGATCTGAAATTCATAGCTATTAAGAAGCCAAAATCCAGACTTTTTCACCTAAGTGGCAAATTGTGAATAAATTTCCTTTATAAAGTACATCGTAAATATGAGGCATTCACTAAATATATAACTGGTACCATGAGAATAGTAGATATTAAATAAGATTACAGAGGCCAGGCGCGGTGGCTTGGGAGGCCAAGGTGGTCAGGAGTTTTGAGACCAGCCTGGCCAACATGGTGAAACCCTGTCTCTACTGAAAATACAAAAATTAGCTGGGCGTGGTGGCACACACCTATAATCCCAGCTACTCAGGAGGCTGAGGAAGGAGAATCGTTTGAACTTGGGAGGCAGAGGTTGCAGTGAGCTGAGATGGCGCCACTGCACTCCAGCCTGGGTGACAGAGTGAGACTCCATCTCAAAAAAAAAAAAAAAAAAAAAGATTACAGAACACTTAAAAAATTATCTGGTTTCATAGAGCAGAAACATTCCCATCTCACACATTTATGTATATAGTGGTCTACAGTTGTATATGTTGTAGATTATTGTTTGCTTCTTCCTCTAAGTGTTTTAACTTGAGACAAGGTCTCAATGTCACCCAGGCTGGAGTGCAGTGGTGAGATCTCAGCTCACTGCAAACTCTGCCTCCCAGACTAACGCGATCTTCCCAGCTCAGACTCCCAAGTAGCAGCTGGGACTGTAGGCTTGCTCTACCACACCAGACTAAGTTTTTGATTTTTTGTAGAGATGGGGTCTCACTATGTTACCCAGGTTGGTCCTGAACAACTCCCAAGCTCAAGCAATCCTCCCTCCTTTGCCTCCCAAAGTGCTGGAATTATAGGCATGAGCTACTGTGCCTGGCCCCATTCCCTTTTTATTTCTATGGGTGGGATATAGGCAGATGTACATCTAACACATACTTCTCTCAAGGATAGGTCTCACATATTTGGAATTAATAACTATTTCATATATTGTATTAGTCTATCTTGATTCATCAAATCCTAAACAACTTTTTTTTTTTTTTTGAGACAGAGTCTCATTCTGTCACCCAGGCTGGAGTGCAGTGGCGCAATCTTGGCCCACTGTAACCTCCGCCTCCTGGGTTCAAGCAATTCTCGCGCCTCAGTCTCTCAAGTAGCTGAGATTACAGGCATGGTGTCCAGCAATTTTTTTTGTATCTTTTGGAGAGACAGGGTTTCGCCATGTTGGCCAGGCTGGTCTTGAATTCCCGACCTCAAGTGATCTGTCCGCCTCAGCCTCCCAAAGTGCTGGGATTACAGGCGCGAGCTACCATGCATGGCCTAAGCCCTAAACAACTTGAACATTTTCTTTAAATATGTTTATTCCTAGCTTGTATCCTCTAATATACATTACTCCTGCTAGTTCAACAAATATCTGTTCAATTGTTTTTGTGGTTGTCTTGATTCTTCCTATCTCCAAAAGAGAAAACGATTTAATTTGAAGTGTCTTTTTTTTTTTTTCTTTTGAGATGGAGTTTCACTCTGTAGCCCAGGCTGGAATGCACTTGTACCATCTCGACTCATTGCAACCTCCGCCTCCCGAGTTCAAGCCATTCTCCTGCCTCAGCCTCCTGAGTAGCTGGGATTACAGGCGCACACTGCCACGCCCAGCTAATTTTTGTATTTTTAGTAGAGACAGCGTTTCCCCATGTTGGCCAGGCTGGTCTCAAACTCCTGACCTCAGGTGATCTACCCACCTCGGCCTCCCAAAGTACTGGTATTACAGGCGTGAGTCACCACGCCAGGCCCCAAAGAGTCTTTTTTTCCCTGTTGTTCTGAAAAAGTCATTTTTCAGTTTTTTAAAAATACACAAAACTCAATAGTTGTTTCCAATGACTCCTGCTGAGACATCCAAAGCAGAACACTCTGTCCTAGAGATTTACTGCTTTTATTAATCAGACACATGGTAAATGCAGTTTGGGGATCTTTTAAATTTATGTCCTATATAAGGATTCGATGACACTAAAATGTTATTTTCCTAATATAAATATTATATTCTTCAAAGCAGGTTGTGGCAGTGCCTGTTTGCATGCCCAGTATCCACATATACACTCTCCCTCTCCTTTTTCTTTTGAGACAGGGTCTCACTGGGTCACCCAGGCTGGAGGGCAGTGGTGTGACCATGGCTCACTGCAGCCTCGACCTCCTGGGACAAGAAATCCTCCTGCCTCAGACTCCCAAACAGCTTGGAGTACAGGCACATGCTGCCACATTGGACTAGTTTTTTTAAATTTTTTCCAGAGATGAGCTCCCACTATGTTGTTCAGGCTGGTCTTGAATCTCTGGGCTCAACTGATCCTCCTGCTTTGACCTCCCAAAGTGAGATTACAAGGATGCCTCTCCCCTTCTTTTTTTCTTTTCTTTCTTTTTTTTTTTTTTTTGAGACAAGAGTCTTGCTCGGTTGCCAGGCTGGACTGCAGTGGCACGATCTCGGCTCAATGCAACCTTCACCTCCTGAGTTCAAGTGATTCTCATGCTTCAGTCTCCCAAGTAGCTGGGATTGACAGGCACATGCCACCACATCCAGCTAATTTTTAAATTTTTAGTAGAGATGGGATTTCACCATGTTGGCCAGCATAGTCTCCATCTCCTGACTTCGTGATCCGCCTGCCTTGGCCTCCCAAAGTGCTGGGATTACAGGTGTGAGCCACCACGCCCAGCCTCCCCTTCTTTTAAAATAACATAACTTCTTTTTTTTTTTTTTTTTTTTTTGAGACAGAGTCTTGCTCTTTTGCTGAGGCCGGAATGCAGCGGCGTGATCTCAGCTTACTGCAACCTCCGCCTCCTGGGTTCAAGCCATTCTCTTGCCTCAGCCTCCTGAGTAGCTGGGACTACAGACTTGGCTAATTTTTTTTTTTTTTTTTTTTAGTTTTAGTCTTGCCTCAGTCTTCTGAGTAGCTGGGACTACGGACTAGGGCTACTTTTTTTTTTTTTTTAGTTTTTGGTAGAGATGAGATTTCACCATGTTGGCCAGGCTGGTCTCCAACTCCTGGCCTCAAGTGATCTGCCCACCTTGGCCTCCCAAAGTGCTGGGATTATAGGCATGAGCCACTGCGCCTGGCCACTGAGTGTATAATTCTAAAAATTCTTTCAAGAGAGATGGCTAGAATGAAAGGTGAAAGATGTGACCTTCTAAAGGTCCAGAAGCCATCTAGAATCACTAAACATCTTGAGGATGTAAAGTAGTGCCAAGAATAGATGAGCAAAAAAGAGAAGAATCTAAGTCCCTGATGGCTGTGGAGTAACCATGCCAATGTTGGACTTTTCTTCCCTCTGGATGTTTTTTATCAAAAAGAAAAATCAATCTCTACCTTGACTGAGCTACTTGTATTTGGATTTTTAAAAAGCAGCCAACTCTAATCCTAATTAATAAACACATTACTCCATTTGTTGGCTAAATTGCAAATCTGGGCATAATATCCTCTTTTTAAAGTAAAAGCTAAAAGTCAGGCTTGCTTAGAAATATAATATTGGCATAATTTCCTACACTTGTTGCCAATACTTAAGGTTCAGTTTAAATGAGACAACTGATCTTGTTCTCAATAATCTTTAGTATCAAATCTAGATTATCTTTTGCCAGAAGTTTCCATGCCAGAAGTTGCCATCTCTCTTGAAAGAATTTTTAGAATTATACACTCAGTGGCCAGGCGCAGTGGCTCATGCCTATAATCCCAGCACTTTGGGAGGCCAAGGTGGGCAGATCACTTGAGGCCAGGAGTTGGAGACCAGCCTGGCCAACATGGTGAAATCTCATCTCTACCAAAAACTAAAAAAAAAAGTCACAAAAGGATTCTGAGTAATATCTGTAATTTCTAACTATGATGTCACCCATTACTCCCACCTAGGAACTTTGAAGAATTAAGAGTTCCTGCTTGCTGCATTATTGCTTTTATTAAGTACCCTGAGACCTCACAACACACTGGCAGGCTTTGGGATGCTCAAAGCAACTTCTAGACCACTGAGTGGCTTTGAAGCATTTCTAGGGGAGGATCAAGGTCCGAAATCCTAGTGTAGAAAGAGCTCAAGTCTAGGATCAAGGTCCGAGATACTAGTATAGAAAGAGCTCAAGAGTCTTAGATCTAGTATTTGCTTCTGCTTTCAACTCTGGCACATTCCGTAGCCTCTCTAGGTTAGCTAATTCATCTGTAAAGAAGAAGGGGTTTACACAATGAGATACCATCTCAACGCCAGTCAGAATGGTGATTATTAAAAAGTCAGGAAACAACAGATGCTGGCAAGGCTGTGGAGAAATAGGAATGCTTTTACATTGTTGGTAGGCATGTAAATTAGTTCAACCATTGTGGAAGACAGTATGGTGATTCCTTAA